ACTCCTCTTTTCAAAACCCTCAGATCTTGTGAGACTTACTCACTATCACAAGAACAGCACAGGAAGGATCTGCCCCCATGATTCAATTACCTCCTAGCGGGTCCCTCCCACTAAATGTGGGAATTCAGATGAGAATCGTTGGGGGGAACCTAATCAGCTAAACCATATCGGCAACAATTATAGAACCCACACTATAGAACTGTTCTAATGAAACACAGTAACACACAGACTGCATCCAGTCCCGTACTTGGCGCTCAGTGAGGGCTTCACAAGTTGCTGCTGTTACTATTACTAGTTGTATTGGTTATTTCATTCTCCCTGCTGCCCTCCCCAGCTCTGGATCAGGAGTCACTTCTGGTGCCTGGTGGGACAGGAGAGAGGACAATGAGCAAAATAACCCAGAAAGCACGAAATTCAGCCGTTTGGAGAGAGGAAAGTGAAAGGTAGGAGCAGTTGAAAAGGACAAGTTCAGAGAAGATGTGGGTTTAGTGGGGATCAGCACGTGGCACTTTGTTGTTTTTATTCTTGTCTTATGCCTTTCCCATCACTTTTATGGGCTGGTGTGCAGACATTTGTTGAAAGGACTCTTCCACCTGGATCTCATTGAAATCATGCAGCCTTTCTCTTCACTAAATATTTTTCTATCGCAGTAACTATATAAACGTTCCATTTGTGATGTAATAGTTCTGTTTCAGATTTTCTTTCCTAAACTAAAAACAAGAGTTACTGCAAACATTTGAGACGATGGCCTGAATGTCATGCTTTGTATGATGAACTTTTTATTTCCAGTGGTTTACATTTATTTTTCCTATTTAGTGGTCTACCCTCTGGCGCTAGGTGGAGGCTCCAAACGGCAAGGGTTGCACTGAGAAGAGGATGTAACAATGCAGAGACTTACTTTGGTTATAAAAATTTCCACTTTCTAGAGAGAAGCATGAGCTAAACAGAGGCAGCTTTCACTTGTTTGGAAATGCAATCAGGGTCCTTATTTCAGTTGCTTAATATTTCTACAGCAAACAACCAGCTTCTGCCAAAATCACTTTTAGAAAGAAAATACCCTGTTGCATTAATGGCCTAAGGCAGTGACTTTTTCTTGAAACCGATGAACTATCATCCTACTTCTTGGCTCTGCCAAATAACCATGCATGGGAGGAGGAAGGAGGAATCAGAACGGGCCAGAGTTTCACTTTGGCATTTTAAAACATAGAAGATGGACAAGATTTCATTGAATGAAGAGATGAGGCTGACAATAATTTGCTTAGTTGTAGTAGAGTGAAAAGAGGAGGGCTTCAAGAGGGTCAAGCCCCATTTCTCCTATTCAGTTATTTATATGAACTGTAAATCTCAATTTTGTTAGCCATAAAATGGGAAGATAATGCCTAGATATCAGGGCTGGCTGAAGCTTAGCAGAAATTAGATGTGGCCACAAGTGATCCGTCTCTCAAGCCATTTGTGCAAATGTGATAATAATGTATGAGGATTTTTCTTTTATCACTGGAGGAGAAAGGGGTGTTTCTATAACAGGTGTCTTTGAATGTAGGGATCTAAAAGATGGCAGGAGGAAAATGGAAGAGTGGTATGACAGCTGTGTCCCTCATCCTGGGCGTAAGTTTCCCTGTTCCAGACACCCTCCACCTCTGGCCTAATTGAGTGGGGTTTGAAGGACAGCATAGCCTTAAAGCCTAGGTGCCGGGTGTGGTGGCTCATGCCTGTAATCCCTGCATTTTGGGAGGCTGAGGCAGTCAGATCACCTGAGGTTGGGAGTTCAAGACCAGCCTCACCAACATGGAGAAACCCTGTCTCTACTAAAATACAAAATTAGCCAGGCATGGTGGTGCATGCCTGCAATCCCAGCTACTTGGGAGGCTGAGGCAGGAGAACTGCTTGAACCCAGGAGGCAAAGGTTGTTGTGAGCCAAGATTGTTTCATTGCATTCTAGCCTGTGCGACAAGAGCAAAACTTCGTCTCAGAAAAAAAAGGCCTAGGTGATAAAAGTCTCACCTGAAGACAGAACAGAGCCGCTGTTGCTCATTCCACCAAAAATCGGTTGCACCCTAAGGGCTCAGGGCAAATACCTGCAGCAAAGTGCTGCTCTCAGATGGCTTGAAGGCCATGAGTGAGCAATTCTGAGGACCCAGAAGTAGAGGGGTGTGTGTACTTATTCATGAGCCAATCTGAGACAGCTTCTGGGATGCCTAGAAGGCAACAGGGGTGACTTCAAGTGATGAGGATGGAGGGTGGTGGGGATCAGGGCCATTGAGGGCTTGTAGTCCTACAGATGGAGGCTTCATTGTAATGGGACCTCACAAGTTGGTGAGGCCTGGGGACATGTGAAATACTTGTTCTATATAGGATTTCCCTGTGAATTAAAAAAGAGAGGCCAGGCACGGTGGCTCATGCCTGTAATTCCAGCACTTTAGGAGGCCAAGGAGGGTGGGTCATGACATCAGGAGTCTGAGACCAGCCTGGTCAACATGGTGAAACCCCATCTCTACTAAAAATACAAAAAATTAGCTAGGTATGGTGTGCACCTGTAATTTCAGCTACTCGGGAGGCCAAGGTAGGAGAATTGCTTGAACTTAGGAGGCAGCGGTTGCAGTGAGCCGAGATTGTGCCACTGCACTCCAGCCTGGGTGACAGAGCGAGACTCCATCTCAAAAAAGAAAGGCCACATGAAAGCACTTTGCAAATTTTAAAGTGTTATAGAAAAGTGCAGAATTGGTATTGTGAAGAAGACACATCAAGCGCAGCTCCTGTTAGGGTGGCTCTGCCAAGGCCAGACTCAGGTGAGAGGCATCAGGTAACGGGGATTCCAAAATGCTCCCCAAAGGCTGAGTGCGGTGGCATACGCTGGTAATCCCAGCACTTTGGGAGGCCAAGGTGGATGGATCACTTGAGGTCAGGAGTTCCAGACCAGCCTGGCCAACACAGCGAAACCCTGCTTCTACTAAAAATAGAAAAATTAGCTGGGCATGGTGGCGGGCACCTGTAGTCCCAGCTACTCAGGAGGCTGAGGCAGAAGAATCCTTTGAACCCAGGAAGCGGAGGTTGTAGTGAGCCGAGATCGTGCCACTACACTCCAGCCTGGGCAATAGAGTGAGTGAGACTCCGTCTCCTTAAAAAAAATGCTCCTCAAAGCAACACATGGGAATGTCATTGAGCACCTGCTGTGTCCTCAGAATTCTTCTATCTGCTTAGGGTTCAAAGATAATTAATTCTTATTCTCTGTTCTTCAGGAGCTCACTGTCCAAAGGGAGTCTGTCTCTCAGATCCACACGCTGAGGCTTGCTCCAGTGTGAATGTGTGCACTGGAAAGAACCCAAACAGCCCCCTGAGAGCTGCCAGGGTTGGCAGTCTTCCGTGAGATCCCCAGGTTTGAGTAGCCAAGCCGGGAGGAGCACCATTTGCCCACTGACTCTTGGGCAAGGCTGCAGCCTGCATCCCAGCCAGCAGAAAGCAGGTGGCATCACAGCTGAGTTTACCACCATTGCAGGGCCCACTACATGCTTTTAGTAGATAACATGTCTTCTCTGCTTCAGATCCTTATTTTGCTTACTTAAAATTTCTGCAGAAAACAAACAGCTTCTGCCAAAATTGGCTCACAACATTAGTTTGCTAGTATAATCAGTTGTATAGCAGGATTGTACTGAGTAGCTCTTGGAAGGCAGTCAACACAACAGGGATGCATCGTTCTTCCAGGTCATCACACATGGGTTGGACATGCTAACAGTCCCCAGCAGCTATCAGGGGAGTATATGGATGATTATGCAAAGGCAGAGGCATTGCAGAAGGATGCTAACTAGATGTCACGAGTCAAGGATATTATAGAAGGATCTCTTTGCTGACAAAGAGGGTACCTCTAAGGTTCCTTCAGATGGGTTGGTTCTCTGTTCACTGTGATCACTACTATGCAAAGGCTTGTGGGCCATTTAGGAGAAAAGCATTCAGTCCAATTCTATAGACACAGTGAGCATGTGATATGCCCTAAGCGTATATGAGTAATATACCAAAGAGGAAATACACAGTTACTACTGTCAGGAACTCATGACCTGCTGCAGCGGTTGGCAAAGTATGGCTTGTGGGCCAATCTGGCTATTTCAGTAAATAATGTTTTACTGGAATCCAGACACACCTGTTTGTTTCCATATTGTCTATGGCTGCTGAGCACCCACGATAAGAGCAAAGTTAAGTAGTTGTGACAGAGACCTTATCACCCACAAAACCTGTAATGTTTGACTGGATAGCCCTCAACAGAAAAGGCCTGACAACCTCTGGTCTTGTGGGAGGACACTGCTGTGCACAGTTAACTCTAAATCTTGGCTGTAGCATCTTGAATAGGGTGGTGATCCTCGGGTGCTGAGGGGGACAGCTGGCCAGCTGCCTCCCAGCGGCGTTTCCACAACTTGCAGGCCCAGAAACTAGAGTTGGGAATGACCACAGAGTTTGTGATGGACTGACAGTTGCCCAAACCACAGACTGACCTACAGGCTAGAAATGAACATGTTGGGTGGAATAGCCCTCTCAAGGACTAGAGTAATTGCTAGAGAGCCACCCTTTCTACAGAATACAACACACATTCAAGTGTGACTACTCACACTGAGACTTTCTGATGAGCATGACTAGACAGCAGGGGGCCCTAGAATAGTTTGTTCAGGTTAAGGTGAGAGGAGGGGAGAATCCAGCCCTGTCCCTTGCTGGATGCCACCACTCCAGTGCCTGAAATCCAACCTCCCCACCCTAATCTGAATAGTCCTCCTCTGGAAAAGAGTGAAAAATGCGAGAATGTGCTTCTTTGACTCTGGCCCTCCTCTAACAGCCCTGCTTCTGTTCACACAGACATTCTGCAGCTTCCTTAACGTCACTGGCTAGAGGATACAGCTGTTGCTAGTAAAAGGCATTGCTCCTTTGAGCTAGCAGGCACTTTGTTCTTTTCCATGACACATTGTTTTATGAGCTCACTCTACGGAAGAAATGTCTATCCCTGTGCTCTGGTTCTTCAGGGGCACCTCATTGTCTCCCTCCGCCCACCCACCTGCACCTGACTACCATGGGCTGTGCCCTCATGGAGGCACCATCAAATGCTATCAGACCACAGGGAGAGCGTCCTTCATCCTGCCTGAAGATGGCATCCAGGCAGGTGAGAAATGTCAGTGGTCATGGAGGCAGCATGAAGGGAGTGTTGGCTGCAGAAACCTGACAAGGCTCTTAGAGAGAGATGGAGAGGGAGATGGGGATGGAGATGATAGAGACAGACAGACTGAAGATTCCAGAGGGGGGCGATGGGGAAGCGTGATGAGGCAGGAAAGAAAGACAGATGAAATGAGACCGAGAGGAGCCTGTGTGCCTGGGCTTTATTTTGGAGGCAATGGGAAACAGAAAGGGTTTTTGAGCATGATAGGACAATGAGGAGTACTGTGGTTTAGGAAACCCAGCAGCCACGTGAAGTGCAGATTCAAAGTAAGGAAACTTCCCAGGGTTTGCTGATGATCTTGGTGAGAAGTGGTATAGGGGTGGTGGGAATGGAATTGAAAGAAAGGATGAACTTCCAGAGGGTGGCCGCGCTCAGTTGACAGGAATCAGGGAGGGTAGGAGGAGAGTAAAAGGCTCCTCTGAGCCTAAATCCAGATGTCGAGGAGATGGTGGTACTGTCAATGGAGTTGGAGCTCTTAGGAAGAAAAACAATGGGGAAGAAAAGGATGAGGTTTTTGACAAGTTGAATATGTGGTGAGCATAGGTCCAACTGAAAGCAGTGGAAATACAGATGTGAAAAATATATGCGGTAGCATTGAAAAGTTGGGGCTCATTTTCACCTGAATGTTACCTAAGGTGAAGGGAAGAGAGGTCATCCAGGACAAAAGTACGGAATGAAAAGAAAAAGCAACCAAGCATGAAATCTTGGAGAATAATGTCCTCATTTAAGGGTGAGCCAATGAAGAGGAGCCCACAGGAGAGACTGAGGGACTGTCTTCATTCACTCATTCATGCATGCATTCATTTGGTCAACAAATATTTTTTGGTACTGCCCACGAACAGATTTTGAGCACGAAGGGTACACTCAGAAATGATGAGTCCAGAAATGATGCCCTCCAGAACTTCCAGTGAGGAAGGCACTCAGGAAATGCAGCGTCCTAAGGGGTCCCAGAAAGGACAGACAGGAAGAACACAGTCTGATGGTGTCAAGTGCAGTGGAGGCTAAGAGGTGGGGAGGAAAAGATGGGAAAAGGGGAGAACTGGGGAGGCAAGAGGGACAAATGAGGGAGAAGAGAAGGGAGAGGAGAGATGACAGAGGCACAGAGTGGGAATTTCTAATTCAAGAATCCTAGGCTGGGCTCGGTGGCTTATGCCTGTATCCCAGCACTTTGGGAGGCCGAGGTGGGCGGATCACCTGAGGTGTCAGGAGTTTGAGACCAGCCTGGCCAACATGGTGAAACCCTGTCTCTACTAAAAATATAAAATTCTCTGGGCATGGTGGCAGGTGCCTGTAGACCCAGCTATTTGGGAAGCTGAGGCAGGAGAATAACTTGAGGTGGAGGCTGCAGTGATGTGAGATTGCCCCACTGCACTCCAGCCTGGGCGACAGAGACTCCATTTCAAAAATAAAAGAAGAAAAAAATCCCGTGTTCTTTCCCCTGCCCTTACCTTAGAAAGCAGAGTAAGTGCTGACCTAATCAGGTTTACCTCCATTGCCATAGTAACCTCTGGGACTCCTTTGCTGTGCATTCTTGAGACCAGAAGTGAAGAAGTTACTTTATCAAGTTACCTGCCAATTAGGCTAGTGATTTCTTTCTTTTTTTTTTTTGAGACAGAGTTTTGCTCTTGTTACCCAGACTGGAGTGCAATGGCGCGATCTCGGCTCACCGCAATCTCCGCCTCCTGGGTTCAGGCAGTTCTCCTGCCTCAGCCTCCTGCGTAGCTGGGATTAAAGCCTTGCCATGTTTTCTCTTTCGAGAATTTATTTTTCATCTCTTTATTCACTGGGATTCTGGACCATAATATATGTAAACACAAAAAATACTAAAGATTGAAAATAAAATTATTCTGTTATCTGATTATAAAAGTGGTCATTGTTAAAAAAAAAAGGCTTGGAAAATACAATATAAAGCAGAAAATACAAATTACTCATTTTCCCACCACTCTTAGTATTCCATTGTTTTTCTTCCCAATCCTGTTTCTAGCCACATTTTATGGCATTTAAATATATTTTTATTGTTTATATGCAGTTTCATATATGTTTTTTGTTTGCTGACTAGTTACATCATGGACATTTCCCCATGTCACTAAAATAACTATAAAATCATTTCATCATACATAAACATCACATTTTAGCTCTTCCTCTATTTTAATGCAGCAAATTGTCCACCTTTATACATAAATTGTTGTTCCTGAATCTTAAAAATAGTCAAACTCATTCACACTTCAAAATAATTTTTGCATTTTTTCTTAGAATCTCTGTGTTTAACGCCTCATACATTTCAAAAAGCACTATTAATATGATTGAAAGTGATGACAGTATCTTTTGTCTCCAAATGCAAGTTATTTTGAAATGTGATCTGATTTTATTTTACAAATTCCATTATTAAGAAATTTGACCCAAATTTGAGAAATGACACATTTAGTCTTGACTCATGTCATTCAGCCCTAGGTTTCCATCAGTACTTGCTGGAATTCCATGATTTTAGCACTGGTGGAACTGCTAATTTAAAAAGCTGCTTTTCCAGATCTTTAAATTTGTCAGAGAATATTAATCCTTAACCTAAGTTTTTTCCCTGATTTCTCTTTTTACATTTATTTCTTTTCTTAGTTTCATTATGATATATGAAAATAACATATCCTTTGTATGAGGATTCAGTGGTTACACCAGATAGCAAACAGGAAGTTATTTTTTGCTTGTTGGAAAAATTCACTTGCCTTATGTAGCTTTTCCCATTATTTTACTCTCAAACATTTGGTGTATTTCTGTTTTACCTGTGTTTCTTATAAGAAGATTATAGTTGGACTTGAAAAAATTAACTGTCTTTTAACTGACAAGTATAATTCATTTTTATTTAATTATGATCATTGATATATTTGGATTTATTTTTACTATCTTCTTACACTTTCTATTTGTCCTATAAAATTACTACTCCATTTTTCTCCTCTAATATTTTGGAATGTATAGATTCTAATTTTCTTTTTTTTTTGAGACGGAGTTTCGCTCTTGTTACCCAGGCTGGAGTGCAATGGCATGATCTCGGCTCACCGCAACCTCTGCCTCCTGGGTTCAGGCAATTATCCTGCCTCAGCCTCCTGAGTAGCTGGGATTACAGGCACACGCCACCATGCCCAGCTAATTTTTTGTATTTTTAGTAGAGACGGGGTTTCACCATGTTGACCAGGATGGTCTCGATCTGTTCACCTCGTGATCTACCCACCTTGGCCTCCTAAAGTGCTGGGATTACAGGCTTGAGCCACCATGCCCAGCCCTCTAATTTTTAAATGGTTAAAGTTATTAATTATAGTCACCCTTTTAAAACTTAGAATATTTTAGCTCTTTCTCAGCTTATAAGCTAGTATTGTCCAGTATTTTATTTCTATTAAAAAGTCTTGTGGACCAGGTGCAGTGGTTCATGCCTGTAATCCCAGCACTTTGGGAGGCTGAGGTGGGTAGATCACGAGGTCAAGAGATTGAGACCATCCTGGCCAACACGGTGAAACCCCATCTCTACCACAAATACAAAAATTAGCAGGGAGTGGTGGTGCGCACATGTAGTCCCAGCTACTCAGGAGGCTGAGGCAGGAGAATCACTTGAATCAAGGAGGTGGAGATTGCAGTGAGCCGAGGTCATGCCACTGCACTCCAACCTGGCGACAGAGTGAGATTCTGTCTCGAAAAAAAAAAAGTCTCATTAAATGTATCATATATAGAAGAGTTCACGGGGACGGACTCAAGATGGCGTGGTGAGAACAACCCAGGATTGAAGCTCTCGGTGAACACGCGGAGGGTGAGTCAGGGCCGCATTTCCAGACGGATCTTTGTTGCCCACAGAGACGCGGGGCACCAGCGCAGCGCAGCCGGTGGCCAGTGCAGCTGGTGGCCGGCGCTGCAGTGCAGCAGTGGCGCTCCACAGCACTCCGCACAAAGCGCACGGGTCTGGGTGCCCTGTTGAACCAGCAATCTGAGACTTGAGAGGGCAGATTGGCATATCCATCTGATTGAACGGGACTTGGACAGTGAGCCAGGTCAGGAGATTCCAGGGAAACGGCGTTTGGGCCAGGGCAGTGGGACAAACAAAACGGCGATTCCAAACGCTCCGGGTGGAGAGTTTCACTGTGGGCACAGCTGAACCCAGGACGGTGCTGCTCGGTGGGGGAGGGGCGTCCACCATTACCCTACTGAGGTAAACTCCCATTGCTAACACAGCCTGCCATTGCCGAGGCAACCCGCCACAACAGAGAGACTCCGCCACAGGGTGTAGCCCATGGCAGCAGGGCGGAGACTGCAGCAGCAGGGCAGAGCATGCAGCAACAGGGTGGACCTCACACTAGCAGGGTGGAGCCTTGGCAGGCAAATAGTGACTAGACTGCCTCCTAGCTGGGCAGGACAGCGCAATGGACACTCATAAAGAAAGCCCCAACCCTCCCGAGACAGAGCATCTGAGAAAAAAAGGGTTTTTTTTTTTATGAGTTCTGCTGCAGCAGAATTAAACGTAGCAGCCTAACAGCCCTGAATGAACAGCAGAGCTCACAGCTCAGCACTTGAGCTCCTATAAAGTACATATTGTCTCCTCAAGCAGCTCCCTGACCCCTCTATATCCAGAAGACTGACATTTGGCAGGCATCATTCTGGGACAAATATAGCAGAAAAAGAAACTGGTAGCATCCCTCACTGTTCCGCAGCCGCTATAGGTGCACCCCACACTAGCAGGGCCTGGAGTGGACCTCAGCAGTCGTACAGTGGAGGAGCTAGACTGGTAGAAGGAAAACCAAGTAACAGAAATACTTCATCATCAACAATCTGGGCGTCCACTCAGAGACCCAATCGAAAAGTCAGCAACTACTCAGATGACAGGTGGATAAATCCACAAAGATGGGGAGAAACCAGTGCAAAAAGGAGGAAAACACCCGAAACCAGAACACCTCGCCTCCTACAAAGGACCAAAACTCCTCACCAGCAAGGGAACAAAGCTGGACGGAGAATGACTGTGACGAAATGACGGAATTAGACTTCAGAAGGTGGATAATGAGAAACTTTTGTGAGCTAAAAGACCATGTTTTAAATCAATGCAAAGAAACTAAGAACCTTAAAAAAAGATTTGAGGAAATGATAACAAGAATGGATAACTTAGAGAGGAATATGAATGAATTGAAGGAGCTGAAAAACACAATATGAGAACTTCATGAAGCATGCACAAGTCTCAACAGCCGAATTGACCAAGCAGAAGAAAGAATATCAGAAGTCGAAGATCCACTCAATGAAATAAAATGAGAAACCAAGATCAGAGAAAAAAGCGCAAAAAGGAATGAACAAAGTCTCCAAGAAATGTGGGACTATGTGAAGAGACCTAACCTACGTTTGATAGGTGTACCAGATGTGATGAAGAGAATGAATCCAAGCTGAAAAATACTCTTCAGGATTTTAGCCAGGAAAATTTCCCCCACCTAACAAGACAGGCCAACTCTCAAATTCAGGAAATACAGAGAACACCACAAAGATATTCCGCAAGAAGAGCAACCCCAATGCACATAATTGTCAGATTCACCAGGGTTGAAATAAAGGAGAAAATACTAAGGGCAGCCAGAGAGAAAGGTCGGGTCACCCACAAAGGGAAGCTCATCAGACTCACAGCAGATCTCTCGGCAGAAACTCTACAAGCCAGAAGAGAGTGGGGGCCAATATTCAACATCCTTAAAGAAAAGAACTTTCAACCCAGAATTTCATATCCAGCCAAACTGAGCTTCATAAGTGAAGGAAAAATAAAATCCTTTGCAAACAAGCAAGTACTCAGAGATTTTGTCACCACCAGGCCTGCTTTACAAGAGCTCCTGAAAGAGGCACTACACATAGAAAGGAACAACCAGTACAAGCCATTCCAAAATCACACTAAATGCTAAAGAGCATCAACATAATGAAGAATCTACATCAACTAACAAGCAAAACAGCCAGCTAGCATCAAAATGGCAGTATCAAATTCACACATAACTATATTAACCCTAAATGTAAATGGACTAAATGCACCAATCAAAAGACACAGACTGGCAAATTGGATAAAAAACCAAAATCCATCAGTGTGCTGTATCCAGGAAACCCATCTCGCATGCAAGGATACACAAAGGCTCAAAATAAAGGGATGGAGGAAGATTTACCAAGCAAATGGAGAGCAAAAAAAAGCAGGAGTTGCAATTCTCATCTCTGATAAAATAGACTTTAAAACAACAAAGATCAAAAGAGACAAAGAAGGTCATTACATAATGGTAAAAGGATCGATACAATGAGAAGAGCTAATGATCCTAAATATATATGGACCCAATAAAGGAGCACCCAGATACATAAGGCAAGTTCTTAATGACTTACAAAGAGACTTAGACTCCCACACAATAATAGTGGGAGACTTTAACACTACACTGTCAATATCAGACAGATCAACCAGACAAAAAATTAACAAGCATATCCAGGGCTTGAACTCAGACCTGGAACAAGCAAACCTGAGACATCTACAGAACTCTCCACCCCAAATCCACAGAATATACATTCTTCTCAGCACCACATCACACCTGCTCTAAAATTGACCACATAATCGGAAGTAAAGCACTCCTCAGCAAATGCAAAACAACTGAAATCATAACAAACAGTCTCTCAGACCATAGTGCAATCAAGTTAGAACTCAGAATTCAGAAACCAACCCAGAACCACACAGCTTCATGGAAACTGAACAACTGGCTCTTGAATGTTGACTGGATAAACAACGAAATGAAGGCAGAAATAAAGAAGTTCTTTGAAACCAATGAGAATGAAGACACAACATGCCAGAAT